ATACCTAATTGTTCAATGATTAGAAACAATATAAAATTAAGAAACTTTAACAATAGAACACAAAAATAATGCAAATTTATGAAATAAGTTCTAATATTGATGTTACTATGTACAAAAGAAAAAAATAATTTTTGATAATCAAAAATTTATAAAATGTACAATAGGGTAAGTTATAATTTTGGCAATCTAAAACCATTACAAATAAAAATGTAGTAATTTTCTAGTCAATTTGAACTTATTTGCTTTTTGTTTAATCGCAAGCCAATTTTAATTATTAAACCATTCTTTAATAGATGATTATAAATAAATATTTGTTTAAAAAAAAAGAAAATACTACTTTGTATTTAAAATTCTTTTTTTAAAAATAACAAAAATATGTTGATTTTTGATCTTTTAGTCAAAATAAAGTAAATGAAAATAATATTTTCTGAATAAACTTGTAGCAAAGTTTGTAATATACTAAAACAAATCTCAATTATTATAATAAGTTATACAACTAATAATGTATTAAATTTTAAAAAAATGGTATGCAACTTTTTAACAAATTAAAATTTTATTCGCTAAAAGTGGCATTGGTAAGATATTTAGGAAAGTGGTTTTGGTAAGATATTTGTTATAGCAGAAAAAATGCAATAGGTACATTTTTAAGAATAAAACAAAATGAATGTAACAGCTCTTGTACATTTTTTTTTTTTTGTTTATTTATTTAATCAATAAAAAAAATTGTTATAAATTATTCATTTAAATATATTGTAACAAAATATATTTAAAGCTAGAAACTAATATCTTACTTTTTTTCTTACTTACTAACTTTAGGTACTACCTTATGTTAATTATACAAAAAGGTTTACGACAACGAGTATGCTTCTTAAACATTAGTTTATTTTTTGTGTTCAGGTTAGGTAATACCTTAAAACCTTCAAGATATTTAAAGACCTTTTATTCTCCCATCACATCACACACCTTGAAAAAAATCCTAATATGTTTACAAAAATGACATTCAATTTTCCTATCTCTACCCCTATTGGGTCACTAACCAAGTTAATTTTCAACTATAAAATAATAGTATATAAGTTTCAGATTCTACATTCAAACATTTTTTTTTTTTTAAAGTAAATAACATTTTTAACCCTTATCAACACATATTTAATCCCTGTATGCAAAATTGTTGGATAATGTTGTTCGCAGTTCTGCTTAAGGTTTAAAAATGTTAAGAGTTGCATTAGAGGGATAATTTCCTTGAATTATTTCTACAACCGCCATATGGTTAGTGTTCACTAAGTACAGTCAATCTGAACTCAATGGGGCGAATATCATTAAATTTTGTAAAGTCAATCACTACTCTTTTAATAGTGCTCATTTTATTAGGTCAATATTTTTGAAGAGAAAAGCTGAACTTTAGAGCTGATCTGATAATAATAACATTATCTAGTTTCTCCTACAAATGTATAAATTTGTAAAACCTTTCTTTTATAATGCTCTTTTCTGTTCAACACATCAGGCAAATTAATAAAAAAATATAATTCTGTAAAAATACATTAATAGTTACAATATGTAATTTTCTATGACATAGGAAAAACAATCGAGTAAAGTTACTGATGATAAGTAAGTATAAAAACCTAAAAAAGTCATGGTTTTAGTAAAGGTGTATAGATAACTTAACTTCTACAAATAGTTGAAAAACCACAAAATGTATTAAAATTTATTGATTTCCTTTTATATCATGTGTGCTACATAAATTCAATATCAATATAATTCAATCTAATTAAAAATAATAATATTTATGGTAAATAATAATAATCGTAATATTGCGATTACGATTATTTTTATTACCGAATTCTAAAATCAAATTTACTTGTCCGTGTTAAAGCGTTGGTAATTGTTAAGAAGATTTCGATCAGCTGTTTTTATAAAAACATGATATAGCAAGTTAATCAATACACTTTTATCAATTTACAAAATGACTTATTCTGTTATTAACGTTTACAACTTTTGAAGTTCAAGCAATTTATTCTCAGTAAAAATTAGTTAAAATATAATATAATCGTTAATGGGCGTTGATATTTTAAATAAAAATTATTAAAATTACTATTTTAATTATTTCTAAAAAAATGTGTTTTTACTAACAGTTCCTTCGAGGGAAAAATTATAGTTAAAAACGTTATATTTCAAAATCGTTGTAGCTTAGGCGTAGGAAAACCTTTGAATATTAATTGTAAACATATATCCTGACAATAAAAGGGTTTTTCTAACCAATTTATAAACGGTTTCCGGGACGTGACACGTGCGGTGCAGAATAATTATTTAAAATACATAATAATTTCGTTAGGAAATAATTACAAATTAAAATCGATCATGCCCTTTGGCGTGTGTATACTCGTTAAATCGGGTAGTTAAAACAAAATGAAAAACTTACCCTAAAATCAAAAGTCAATCGATTGCGGCTGTCGTGACGAAAGTATTTTTTATTTAAATCGGTTTTCCTTGGGACGACCTGTTGGCTTTGCCTGCGTCACAATAGGAAAATACCGCCACAGACCATCAGCAATATAATTGTTGTATATTTTGTTGTTGTTTTTTCTTTTTTTTTCAAACCTAATCAGCTGTGTTTATACTATCATCGTGCATGTTGTATGCAATATTATAATCATATATACATTATACGAGTGATATAATGACTAAAACCGCGGGAAATTTGGTATAATTATTATAATATGTGATAACAATATGATAAGCTCGTGTGATCTTATCACGATTTACATACATGGAGAAAAGTAATATTATTGTTGTTGGGCAAAAGCGGGTAACCGTTTTGCGCTGGAATACCGCGGTTATGTTTTCCAGAACAACCGAAACACCGAAGAGGGTAAATAAAAAAAAAAGATGGACATCATAAGTATCATATCGAAAATTAATATTTGTATAACAATATAAGAAACACGTGCAAGCTGTCAATTTTGAAATGAGATTATCCAACGAGATGAAATTAAATCCAGTAAAATATGACAAAGTTTCGGTCGACCCCAAGTTGCACAGTTGTATTTTTTCATAATATAATTCTTAGACGGAAAAAACTCAAATTTTTAAAGTAAGCGCGCTGGGTAAATTTAAATTTAACCAAAAATAATATTTTAGAAATTGCACGAACTGTAAATGTTTCTTTCTACGTTAAGTACTAGCGTTGAATGTTTATAAGGCAATATAAAATAACTTTGATGTGTGGCATCTTAACTAAAACCTAAAGTTATACTTTCGTGAAATTAGATAATTATTTGTATGGAGAATAATATGATCTATAGCACTTGTACTAATATTTCATTGCAATAGACACACCTTATTCTCATATTTAAAAAAATTAAGTTTTTAATAATATTTCACTGAATAACAACTAATTTTCGTACTTACAGCTTACTCTGTTGTGTTAAAAAAAACACTTTTTTACAAATATTTCTCCTGATACCTAGTTTTATTTAATATTTATTATTATATTCTCATTGGCAAAAAATAAAAATAGATTTTATAATAAATTTTTGGCCAGAAATGTTATGTTGTTTAGATATTTCGTTTTAAAATACTTATAAACTTTTTTGCTAAATGGAAAACCATTTATGATATTTTTTTATAAACATCTTAAATATTCAAATATTTCAACATTTATTATAAAAATCTTAAATAGCATAATCTTCAATAACAACTAAAATATTGTAGGCACTCGTTTAGTAAGTACCTATTTCGTTTAAGTTATGGATATAACAAAAAAGCTTAAGGTTTGGTAAAAACTAAAACCCAACATACATGATCAAATATTATCAGTAACAGGATAAGTAAAAAGGTATTTTTTTAAAATTCAAATATACAAGAAAATATATAATAGTGTCATTTCCTGTGAAATCATCATAATAATTAGGATATAATCTTGTCATAATTGCAAAATTAGAGGAAAATATCTTTACATCTTTAGTTATAACTCTAAAACGATTTAAGATTAGTATGAACATTTGAGGGACATTTTTTTTTTTTTATTAAAATATAATTATTAATTATTAAGACCTTATTTTTAATTTGATATAGAACATACGATACGAGTTACCACAATATTTGAATTGTTATTTATTTATATTTGTTCACGCTTTTCTTCAATGTAAAAATTATGAAAAAAAAAGATGTATACATGATTATTATTGATGTATATACTATTAATAGTCAATACTTCTATTGGTTATAAATAGTACTATTAATAACCAATGATACTACTAAGTTATAATACAAAATAACAGTTCTAAAAACAAAAAAACAAAATCGAGTTTTATTTACTACGACTTGAGTATTCATTGATCAAAATATTTGGCAATAATTGAACCAAAATATATAATTGTCAATATTTTATAGAGTATAGGCGGTTATTTCGAAATTTTTGGAGGTAAAGTAAAGGAATATTGATGATTTATGTGATTTAAAGTATATACATTTTATCGTGTAATGTTGCATATCAAATTATGGTAATTAAAGAGAAACAAAAATACTTAGATTAAAAATACAATTTAGTGTTTATATTAAGTATTCTACATTAAAAAAATTAAATTTTAAAAAAATAGTAAAGTTAAAATGATCGTATTGATTTTACAAGAAGTAGATTAATATAATTTCTTTCCACCTGATTTTAGTAGCTTCGAATATAATATAAAGTGTCTAAAATATAACACTCTACACCTATTATAAATTTAAATTATAGAAAACTGAAAAATAAACAAAACATAATAAAACGAAATTAATAAACATTTTAATTTATTTTTATGGCAATTGACATTATGCAAACAAGTTAATGTTCATAACACAAATATAGTCAAACAATATAATGTACACACCTAATATAATAACTTTAGCAATACAATATAATATTAAAAATAATTCAGTTGTATTTCATAAACTAAAATTTAAAAGACAACATTTTATTAACATAGTATAATTTTGTTAATTTATTTTTATAGAAATGTACATTTGTCAGTTTGAATAATATATACCTATGACAACATTTATACTTGGATTAGCTACGATTCGATATTTTTTTATATATTATACTCTCAAACGTGTAACAATAATAATAATAATAGGGGAATAAAAGTAGGTATGTATTATTTAAAATATATAAAAATTGGCTAAATATATATATTTTTAAAATAACTCAATTAATAGTAATATTAATCTAAATCAATGGTTGAGCAACTTTGTTTTTATTTACTGGATTGAAAACAATTGGTTTGTACGTTATGTTTTTGTTTTTTATGAACGGTTGTAACGAGTTAATACCTGGTTTCGGTACTACTACTTCGCTGGTAACTTCATTGTATTTCTAAAAAATAACACATCATATTATAAACATATATTTATACTTTCACCTAACATCCCCAGTGCCCCCCGTATCCACCCTACCCCCTCGTGAACGCCCCCTTAATAATTGTTAAGAGTACAGTTGCAGAACTAAGTGTGTACCGTTGAACAGTTTATTTGCATTTCTTGGCCCTCGCTGTCTGTGAATGATTGTGCATGACCGAAATCAGGATCGACGTAACTGCTGTTTTCTTGATCAGAAGTTGGGCTAGTCGATCTAATTCGCAACACAAACAACAGGCTTTAGTGAAATCTGAACTAACGAAAAAAATCGTCAACAATTTAACGGTGCATGCATGACATTTTCCTACCAACCTTCTTTGGCACAGTGGCTTGAAAATGTGTTGACTAGAATTTACACTTAATTTTTTGAGGTCTGGACTCACGCTAAAACCTGTGTTAGATTTGTTATTTAAAGCGTATATTAATTATTATTATTATTATTGAAATGTACATATATTATATTTACACGTTTTAAAACTTTTTCCTATAGTAAGTCAAGAATAGTTATGTTGTTTATTGTTTGTTTTCAACGCACTTGTTTATATCCATCGCTCGTCCGGTTTGCGGTCGCATTCAGTAATACAAGTAGTTGTAAACAATAATGATTGTTGAGTGATTAATTAAAAAATAGTAATAAATGTCTTGTAGATAAGTCGTATTAAAAAAAATGCAGTTATAGTCGGTCGCCGGTATTATTGCAAGGCGCTCGTCTACGCGCGTCGTTTTTTTAATTTAAATTTGTTCAAGTTCGTTTAAGTATAGCAAACGGGTAAACTATTAAATGTCTTTTAAAAATAATTTTTGAAAACCCCACGACAGTAATGAATGTGTTATATTATAATGTACATATTGTAGTATGTAATAATTTATGTATAGGTAAGTAATTTGTTATCAAACCAAAGTCCATTAGCCTTTCAAACGATCAGTGTTATTTTACCAGTTGTTTAGTTTTAGTCGAATCGGTGCATGCGTTTTTTTGTCAGTTAGTTAATTATGTATATCATCTTCACCTTTCCCCGCTCGAATGGAATTGACCGACCATTCCATCTCTTTGATTTAACTTTCAACTTTGACGTCCAAACATCATAGCCCGTCTCACTAGTGCTGTCTATACGATTTGTCTTACAATTCAAACTACACCTTTATGTGTATCAACTCCCATGTTGCCTCTTTCCATCTCTTCTAATCACTCTTTTCCACGCGCTTTCAATGGCTTCACTGTCTAGTAACAGTGATTCCATACTTGAGGCGTCAAGTTTCAAAACCAGCTAAAAGACCAATTTTTTAAAACGGGGCTTTTTGTCTTTCCCAAATGGTCACACTATATTACATGGTTTGTAAAAATATTGAACATAAATCTAAGTTATAACTGATAATGGAAAAATTGTGGTTGGTTAATGGTTTCAAAACTAGCCATAATCAATGGCTATAATGGTCAGCTTAATAAATGTATGTTTAAAAACCACCTAATGTCAATATAAAAACCAGACATATGTGAAAAAGAAATTTAATTGTTAGTTTACAAAACCAGCCATGGGAGGAAATTGACAACAAAACCAGTTATATCAAAATGATAAAGCTATTTAGCTCTTGTAATAATATTTGGATAAAATAAATCTTTATACACAACGTGCATAGAGTCAAATCTTAACCTTATTTTCATCTTTTGTTGTTTATGAAAAATTTCAAAAATTGATTATGGTTGGTTTTGAAAGAGACGCATCATTTATCTACTCTATTTACCACTTGCGCTTTTCAAGCGTACCTCTGCCTAAAATATTCTCATTACTATAAACCTTAACTCCGAATACTATGTTTTAAACCGGTTAATTCTCAAATAATTAATATCCCGTTGCTTCTTTTCGCGGCTAACTGCTGCTTCGTGTATGTACCACTCCATCTAATCTCCATGGCAGAACTCCGAGTGTAAACTCACATTCATACACCTACCTCTTTTTAGACGCTTATCTTCCTGACATAAATCTAAATTTATTTGTCCGTTAGTTAGCTAGTTAGTTATTCTGTTGGATTTTTTTTTTTAACTAGTATCAAGCTTTAAACGTAGTAGGTATGTACACTTTGGACGCATGTGTGTTTACCTGCTTCGATGATTTGTACGCGATGTCGGTCTGGTGTTTGATACCGACACTTCGGAATCGGAACTGGCCAAAGAGTGCGGTAGGGCACCTTGGGCGAAGTCCTTCCGGTAGTTGGCCGACGTCGGGGTGGAAGGTCCTTTGTCGGCGGCGTGTTTCCGGGAGCTGTTTGGGGTCACGTAGACTTGTGTGCTCTTGGGCATCTGATACACTACTTTGGGGTGCACCGTGGTCGTCGTGGACTTTTTGATGGAGCTGTCCGAGTTGCTGCTGAAGTCGTGATCGGCAGTCCTGAAACGACGAACCGTTGGCTGATTTCAATTCGGACAAAACCCAAATTTGCGACGTCTTACCGCGAAGAGTTGAAGTCTTTGTAATCGCGCCTGGCTTCCCGGAATTCCGACAGGACCTGAGTGCCGGACGGCAGTGGTTGGGCCGGCTCCCGCTCGCCTTGGGTCAACGTGTACAGCCTCAGCTGTTGCCGGATATCCGCTTTTTCCCTTTCGCGTTTCTTTTGGAATTCTTCCTCGACACGCCGCATCGCTTCCATTTCGCTGAGTCGTTGACGTTCTGTGCCAATCGGTCGGCAACATGATTTTTAGTAATTTCAACATAGTAAGTTAAGGCAACAGCGGCAATTACAATTACCTTTGTATTCGGCTTCTTTGGACAATTTCTCGGCTATTTTCTTTCGTTCGATCTGCCTGATAGTGCTCTGGAACGCGAATTTCTTGCTAGCCGATTTCCTTTGTCTAGCTCTATCTTTGGCCGCAACGACACCATCCTCTCGTGTGTCCCTCGTTAAATCGTCGCAAGATTTAGTCACGTTGTTAATCCTCTCGGGCGAAATGTTCATTCCATCTCTGTAAAAAATAACACAAATCGAAAAAATAGTAAGAAACAAAAAATATTAATAGAAACTAAAAAAATTTAGAACCTTATTATTGGAAATTATGCGCGTTTTAGATTGATTTAAAATATTGACGCCTTACAGTTTTACAGTGAAATACTTACTAACCCTTGGTGGGATGGGAAAGGGCTCTGTGTATTGAAAATATATAAGACTACTATCGCAAGAAAATAATCAAGGATTAGTAATTAAAATGTAGTTCAAACTGTTTACTTACAAAAATTAAAATTCTGGGTCAGGATATGGATGGAAAATACGGATTTTTCGTATGTAGCCGAGTGTCAAATTTAGAAGTAATATCATATTATACATTGTAGCCAGTTTTTGTACTTGCTTTATAGCAGAAATAATTTTTCAGTAAGACAATTCGTAACTGGCGGTAGTACACAATTACGATGAGTGTATTGCGATGGTGTATAGAAAACGGAGTTTTCAGTTATTTTTCTTTTAATAACAGGTATATTAGCAGTTATTCACTGTAGCAGCCCCCCCCCTATTACCTAAATACCGGATTATAAGCATAAGTCATAACAAAACAGCTAAAACAAATAGAATTTTAAAACTTTACAAAAACTACTATAGAAAATTTGGACAGTTAACAACTGAGCTAGAGTTTACCCTAAATTGTTGGTAGTATCTTAAAAGTTAATATTCAAACACAAGACCACGGTTACTGTTTTGTACCTTGGATACAGGTAGTTCAACGATTTGTATTCCGGCAAGTACATAGCCCGTCGACCGGCGGCTAAGTACGAGAACTTGGGCAACGAAGACATGGTCAGCTCCTCCGGGACTGGTTCGCTGTCATCCTGGTCGTCGTCGACTTGGTTCCAGTTCTGTGACGGGAAATTCCCTACCAGACCGGACTTGTGTAGCGAATCCGGCACGCTCCGGCTCAACACCCAGTTTTCGTCCAAATGCGATTTGGTCTTTTCGATCGAAGCCTTACTGTTTCTGTTCAGTTTCGATTTGAAGTAGCTACTGGTCTTTGGCGGGTTCATAGGCGAGAAATCTTCACCCTTTTCACGCGGAAAGAAAAAAAAACAAACAAAAATTAAAGTAAATCTGCACAATGAACCGGTGGTTTTCGTAAACGTTTAAACCGCTGTAATTAAGTTACACCACACTAACCGTTTGGCCGTATCTCTTGTCGTGCAATGGGTTTTCTTCCCTGGGCAGGGACAAACAAAAACTAGGTCTGGCCACCGTACGGGATCTAGAAAACTGTGTGGCGTCTAATAAACTCTGCGGCGACACCGGTGCCGACTCCAGTCCACCGTCCGAACTGGTTTCCTCCAAGTCTTGTTGTGGAGTCCAAGCGACCTATAAAAAGACGGTAAACAATTTAAGTGCATTTTCGGATTCGACGTAGAGCCAAGTAGGTTTGAGAGTTTTACAATAACGAATTTTATAACACAGAATATATTATTGTATTTGCTTAGCTGCTATGTTTTATACATTTCAGGATCATATTGGACCCACTCGCATAAGCTTTTGGACCACTCGATAATAACGTGCAATGCACATACTTATAAAAAATGTACTTTCTAATCTTTTTGGGCTTGTCCCGTATGTACAAAATAAAAAAAACTCATCTTTAATTTTGGTTCATATGCAAGCAGTGCAACATGTGTCCTCTTAATATTTTAACAGTATTATGAAAATGTATGTATTGTTAAGAACACCCTATACACAGTATACACGGAGATTGTCAGAAATGTACCAAAATATTAAACGATACAAATACCTATTGGTTATAGGGTCTTATACCTGGGAATTGTGCGCCGAATGTGGACTGGCGTCGCCGGATATGCCGCTGTCGCCCGACTTGTCGCCGTTATGGTGAATCGGTTGATCGATGACATGTATCAAATCTTCTTCCCCGCCACTGTAATTCGGACTTGCCGGCGTTGGACTCTCCAGCGCGGTCAATAACCGCCATGCAGCTGTCGGGCTGAACCTAGGTATATCAAATTGTTTCCTGGGTAAGGTAGGCCGCAGCTGAAGTGATATGTCGCCGCCGCCGCCACTCTGCAAAGAAAACGATAACACATTACAGAGACTTCAGAGTTAGATAGAATATGATAGAAAATTTGGGAACAAATAAACGGAGTTTGTTTCGGATAAGATTGGAACATTAAACATGGAGCTTGTGCGATTTGTGGCCACGGAGAGAATTCGGCCGACTTAAAGAAACAGAAACGTTACCTCGTCCGTAGGATCACTACTGGTCAAACTGTCCGAAGGCGAATGGTTGGACTTGTTGTAGTTGTCAGCGAATCGGTCGACGTTCTCGGCCATCCTGTTGTCTGTTATGTCGTTGTTGAATTCATTCATACCGAAGTAAAAAGTCTTTGGTTTGGTATCTGGTATGCTAAAAAAAAAAAAAATGCCAATATTCAATTCGTTGCATAAACTAATGTTTATGGTCCGTACAAATATTTTATAACCATTCCCATACAGCCAAAAATTCATAATTAAACAAAATTGTTGCGACGATGTTTGAAAAATGTATTTGCAAAATATTGTTTAAATTTTTAATATTGGAAATATTTTCAAAACTTTTATACGTTTTGTAAATAACATTTTTTAAACAATGTTGACTTTTCGTGTCAAAACATTATTATAAAATAGTGGTAAAAACATACGTTTAATAATATTTTGAAAATATTAATTTATTTTTGCCGTTTGTGTTTTTTGGTCAGAAATTCAATGTCCTATAAATATTGTTTGAATATATTTCAATAATATTGTAAACAATATTTGTATGACATTACCGTTCTAGCCAAATATCACGATAAAACATTAATAAAGTTTTTAATTAGCTAATAAAATAAATATAATGAGAATAAAGTAATGAGATATAATTTTTTTTTCAACTGGTTGGGTATGTGGCGTTAAATATGATTCAATTTCTTAAAAAAAAACACATTTATAACTTAAGACATTGATATCGTACTAAAAGAAATTGTAAGCAAATTAAAAACACGATTTTAACTTTTTTTTTTTAATCAATTAATGCATTTGACCATTTGACTGAACTGTATTTAACACGGTTTTGATGCTCACTTGGACTTGGCTTTGTCATTTTTGTCACGATTTTTGGCTTCGTCGTTGGATCCAGTGGCCGACGACCCTTCGCCCGTGCACCGGACGCCGTTGTCCTCCACTTGTTCGGCCGCCGCCAGATTCGGTATGGACCTGGACAAACGTTTGGCTCGATCGGCCATCAATCGCTTTCTGTTCGATTGCACCGCCGCGGCGTTCTTGTCTTGCTGCTGGTGATGTCTGTCGCCAACGTCGGCCGTCGTCACTGGCCGGTCTTCCGACGTGGGGTTCGACGAACTCTCCGAAGCACGGCCGACGGGCGGATGACGGTACTCTCTTTCCCTTAGCCTCTCCGTCACTCTCTTCAACTCGGCCTGTCGACAACGGTAAGATATTTGTTTATTTAGGCCTTTGTTAGGGTAGATATGGCGGGTAGGAAGGAAAGAGAAGATTTAGCGTGTAAAAATATTAATAAGTTTAGTTTCAAATCTATATAGTCTACTGTGGAAGTTCCAAATGCATACAATTAGAATTGTGCAAATTCTTTGCTTTTACTCGAATAATAATTTGCTAACGTTAGATGATTATTTAGATAACGATTCATTCGAATGATGCACAACTCTGTGTATAGTTAAAGAGGTTAAAGAGGGGGGACGCTGACAATATTGAAAAATCACTTTGTTTTTATTTAATAACAAACAAATTAATTTTTGATTTATCACTGTACTTAGATAAAGTATATGTTTTCGAATAATGCATAACTTCGCTGGTAATGTATTTTCATAGCGGTAACTTCAAAAGACACTAAATCGACAAAAATAATTAGAAAATAAGTTATGAAACGTTGTTTTTGGTATTTGGCCACAATTAATGGTCACTAGATGTTTTTTTTAGCAATGAGTCTTGGAACGAAATCTAATATCAATATATTTGGAAAATAAATAGTAAAAATTCGCGTTTTTTAATAAAAAAAACCTTTGTACTTAGCATAAAAAACACGCGTTTTGAAAACAAATTAAAAAATCGGTTTCGCTAAAAAAATTAGGTTTGTTCCAACGAATTGGTTTCTTTAGATGCGAATGAAGGGTTTTATTTGCAACACTAAAAAGGCTATCATAATATATATTTATATACATTTTTCTCCTGTAGATCATACACGACGACTTACTTGGAACTGCGGAGAAGACATGCTACGGTGTAGATTGCCTGGCTGCGGTTTAGCTTTAACTATGTTTTCCGGATGTTTCATCGTCATCTCGTCGTCTTTGCTGAGTTTCCTTTTCGTCTCCGCTCGGGTCTTGAACAATCTCAATCTTGGCATACCATTATTTTGACTAGATCTACTATTTTCTCTGTGGTTTTCCCAGTGTTGGTACGAATCTGGTGAAGAACTGTCCATCTGCTAGAGAAAACGTTATTTGCTATTATTATCCCTACTTAACCGATCAGTTCTTAAGTGTGTCCTAGCTGATGCAAGTACCGACACATTTTGTGATGACCATTATTTTAATTTAAAAAAAAAAAAATCCCTCACCCCATTATGGTGTGACGGAGGTATTTGAGGCGCCCTGTACTTTTTCTTGGACCTAGACAGTCTTCCCTTGTTCTCTGCCTGTTGATGATGGTGATGGTGGTTGCTATAGCCGACCGGAGGGGGTTGTTGTTTGTTAAACGCATATCTCAAGTCCGGTTCGCTGTTGTACATGTTATACTCCATACGATCTCTCCTGTCTTCCCTCGGGAAGTGTCTTTGGCCTTGGTATCCGTGTTGAAACTGTAACAAAAAACTTTAGTTAATTATTCGTGTAGAAACCAAGAAAACATTAATACAGTTTTCTAGGCTGGAGTTGTATGTTTTTTAACGAGGCGTTTTATATAGGCAATCTCAGTACATCCGAGTATAGAATTATCACGGGGGAATATGTTACAAACCAATATTTTCAGGCAAAACACATGTAAAATATAATAAACGTATATTAGTGATGTCGTTAATGTATTATTGGGGGTAAAGTCCGTGAAACTAGAAAGGATTTATGAAAATGTTTATAAATGATAAACATATTATACAAAATAAGATGCTATAAAAAAACTCAAGGATAATATATTGGGATTGTCTATTGGTTTCTCGTAGATTTTTATTATTATTATATATTTTGATATACATTAATGTAATAATATTAATAACCCATGGTCGTTTTTCAGAATAACATCAGTAAATTTACATTGAAAACGAGAGGTTATATCAGCTAATATTTTATTTAACTATAACAAGCACCGAACACACGGGTAGCATATTAAAATATTTGTTTTGATATTCATAGGATTCATTTAGTCGACAACCATTTTCACTCTCAAGGATAAAATTTAATTCGTAACATTGAAATTATGTGATTTTTCAGGAACTATCAAAAGTAACATTGATTGTATTTAAATTAATATTTTGTATACAACTCATATATATGTTCTTTAAACTGTTTACAATATAGTTGATTGTAATCTAAAAGCTATATAAATAGTGTTATTTATTAAATATAGGCGAAGGACTATTATTGAAATTGAAATTAAATAGTTTAACTAAAAATGAGGAATGTGTGTCGTTTTTTAGAGGATTAAGTGGAATAAGTTGTTTTAAAAAAAAAAAAAAGAACAAAACGTCGAAAAGAGTTGCTATTTTTACAATTAATCGAGGGACTGAACTTGTTCCTTTTAAAAAGGAACTTTACCAACAGGTTAAATTCGAGTAGTTCTTGTTAATTTTTTCATTCTATTATTTGTTTTTTTTTTATACAAACGATTACTTAAAATTTGAATAAAACAATTATTCGAATTCTGTTCAGCTCTGCCTATCAGAGAAACGCCCATATCTTGTGTTTAGCCTCGCTTATACTAATTTAACATTATATCATTAACAGTGCCGCAAACTGACCTCTTCGTGGTGCACATAGTCGAACGGTCTTTTGACACTGATGGTGCCGCCGTTATGCAAGACCGTCCCATTGTCTGTGGGCCGCAACCGCTGACCGGGAGGAGGCTGGGGAAGAACTTTGGCTCCGGTCGGTTTAAAATACTGCGACCTGGGAAACGAGTAAGCCCACGAATGCGGCGGTATCACCTGAGTGTCGCTGGTGGCATACGGGATCCCGTGGCTGTTCGAGTTACCCATCGTTCATCGATCGTCGAGGGTTTTTAAGCGTTGGTCATCTGTAAAACAAAGAAAAACAAATATATTCCAAACGAATATTAGGTGCATTGATTTTTATAAGAACAAAAAAAAAAAGTGTTCTTTTAGGGACACCTGTACACCTGCGAATTTTCGTTCGAAAACATCTCATTCAACTTCAAACGTATCTACTGTTCCGTATTAAGTTTTGAAAAAATATTTCAATTTATTAGTTGTAAGTTGTTAATCGTTATTTAATTAAATTTACCAAGCTCTGACGACATTATCCTACACCGTATGTAGCATAGTATTTTTTTGAAATATTAATTTAACTTTATTAATCAATCATTTCCATCTATTTACAATTACAAAAATATTGAAACACTGTATCAAAAAAAGAAAAAAAAATGCTCAATCGCGAGGCGTGTACAATTGTTGTTGTCTAAGTGATGCCGAATTATAAGATTCTATAATAACCCCGTTTAAAGAAAAATAGGACAGGTTCGTAAATGATTATTAATAATGAAAAAACTATTGTGAAAAAAGTCGGTAACAGACGTTACAACAGACAAAGTAATTACCCACAAAGACGAGTCATTACCGTACTAATAATACCCTAAACTTTTATTTTGCCATACAAATTGTTAAAATACAGATTCGCTAAATAAATCGAAAAACATGATAAGTGTCTTCATTAAATAATTATTTCTTAAGACAAAATAAAGTAAAATTTTGATCACCTATTGTATACTGGCTTACATCATACATATACGAGTCAAAACGCCAATTACGAACAAACGTTGGGAGCGAACCACCATCGGATATTTTTGAAAATTACACCTGAATGTCTGTTACGATGAAAAGAATGTTCTCAAACTTTTTTTCGATTATTTTGGCCATGATCGTAAGAAGTATTTTTGGTTTTACCTTGACACTTCTTTTTTTATAATTTTTTTTATAGAATCTTTAAAAAAATGGCCGTCAAAAAAGTTTATTAATATTCAGTTTCTTATGCAAAATAATGTCAGCTCTCTGAAAAAAATATTTATTTTTTTTCGCGAACAGAAAGTCATCAAAATTGAGTTTATAACTTAAAAAGTGTGTTTTTGTCGTGTAAAATGTTGAGAATTTTTCTAATATTTTTTTTTTTAGAAACATGAGGAAATTTTACATAAAATGTGTAAAAATTCATAGAAAAGTTTATAAAACAGACAGAAAACTTGACCACAGTATTCAAAATAGTTGAAATAATTATAATTTATTATTTTTATATTATGCAAATAAGAAGATAATTTTCCGTTTTTCGACTTTCCCATGCATTTTTACCAAGTTTTTGTTTTTCTAAGCGTATTATGCGTTTTGACCCATTTATAATATATATATATATATACGTATATATTTAGGACTGTGATGGATAGTATCCATACAAAATGCCATTGTAATAGTGTCGTCGGCTAATTAATAGTTAATTGTTTTAATATGATTTAGTCTCGATGCACATTGAAAGTATATTATAACGAGAGTGCATGCCATAGAGACTTTAATGCCAGCGAGCCCGGCTGTATCGTACCTATATCTACTGCTCTGGTCTCGACACACATATTACTGTGTATTATTATTATTTGTATTATTGTGATTCTTATTTCGGCGCTAAGACACGTGACCACAACATACCTACCTATATAGTGTGTTATTTCGGAAGAACCTGTGCTAGTGTTCCGTTACCGGGTCGAAACTGTCGGTGCCGCTGCCATACTCGGACACCGTTATGACTGAGAGACTGCGTTTTTTTACACGACCGCACTCGCACTACTATGCTCTCATCGTCTTGGCAACAACTCTTTACACACACACATACAGGCCGGAGACGGAAATAAACACTCAGTGTTGGCTGCATAAGATTCGCAAACCCTTTTTTATATGTATTATTAGAATATTGTCAAAGCGCTTTGCACCGTCTCCCACACCGGACAGACAGAAAATTACTAAAAATATAGATTTAAAAAATAGTGTGAGTAAATATGGTTCGATAAGTTATTTAATACTTACAAATAAATTATCAAGTGAAGTTGACATTATTCGGATAATTTTTTTTTTCAGAATATTTATTTAACGATTATTTTTGTCAAATTATTTGTTATTCATTATTCGTCAACACTAGTATTATACATATTATGGATATTATTTTCGTTTCTTTTATTTATTATTAATTGTTTGAATGACCAAAAAATGATAAAATATACAATGTTTGATGTACCTATGTGAGATTAAGAAAAGCATTTTAGATTATTATATTATTTTTTATAAATTGAAAATTACCTGAGATTTTGTTTTTTATATAAAATATAATAAATAAACTAATTATCTTTTATTTATTAGCGAGTAACAATTGTAATTTCTCGCGCATAACATATTGTTATCTATTATTGGTCAAGTTTTTCAATTATTATTTAATATCTTATTAAAAATTGTACTCAACTCTGTTCGTCAGTAATAAACTATAAGAATATACCACTTGGCGACAACAAGGCGAATGGAATAATATTGTGGAAACGCTTGTACCGTAGTTGTAATATAAAAAAATGAAAGAGTGAAAAAATAATATGACGATACTAGAGTCATAAAATAAAAATTAAAAGTGAACACAACACAACAAACGTACGATGGCCGGTGACCCTTGTATCCGATTTGTCGACGCGTTTTGTAATTGGAAAGTTATAGCATCTTCTAAATCGAAATTCCGCATAGTTGCCTACGGTTCAGATGTTCAACTTGTAAGTACCCACACTAGCGTGTTTAAGTTCCACACGGGCTCCTCGGTAACTTAACGGGCGCAATGAAAACCTATATTGGAAAATCAGAGTTTGTCCTCTGCGTTACCGAGGGGGAAATCCTGGGAAAATCGTTCGGTCAAATATAGGCCCGAAATAGCATTGTACTATTCTCGACAATTGCGTTGCCATTTATGGATAAACCGCACTACCGGTGTAAGGAACATTGCTGTGCCTAATCGTTTCCGTAATCCGGACAGTGTCGAGTGATGGGTTCCGTCGGACCAACCAGTGTCACTTAAAACTGTTTTCCTGTGGTAAAAATAATAGAGAATAAATTTGAGCGGTTATTATTTTTCCGGAACGTGGAAAATATTTTGCACGTTGTCACAGATGGCGGCACACGGCCAAACAGACGTCCTCTGCTGCCATGACCGCATAACGCGTAAAGAAGAAGAAAAAAAAAATACTGTAGACGAAAAATATTTAGCACAACACAATAAAGCCTCGGCCGGTCATGACAATGTGGGATCTGTCGGTCGCAAAATATTAGTATTTTTTTCCAACCTACGGTTATTCAACAGACTGGAAAGTTCCGACGTTAATACCTTCTATACTTACAAGAAATAACTGTGCATAGTCTGCGAAACGTCTCCATAATCGGTGGCAATAAAAAAATAGGGTGCCTCTAAATGTATAAATCTGTTAATAAGATATGCGGTTTTGCGACAATGTCGGGCTCGTGTAAGTTATGTACTTGGCCATACCTATCTTGGTTTGCGAAACGACCCGACCGGTATCGAGGATGACGATTTCATCATTTAACTATAGGACCAGTGTGCGCGATAAACCGATTGTCCAACCGAGTTTGTAATGGTAAACGTCATAAAATACTATTCTACTGGGACGACTCGTGTACAGAAGAAAAAAGGCGTGGAAAATGTCAAAAGATCTATTTCCTTTTCATATTATAAAATCGACGCGGGTCAACGAAAACAAGTGGTGCAACCAGAATAATCTCTACCGGGTGATTTTTTTAACGCTCTACACACTAATTTACTTACTCTTAAAATAATTGCAATTTTGTAGTGTTTCTTTTTGAAAATATTTGTATTTATGTTGTAATACAATATTAGACAATATTCAATTTTTTATGTTATTTAGAACTTATTTGCTAGAGCTTTACTTTTGAAACGTAAATGGTAATATATCTATCTATTTAATTGAATTTTTAAATAAAAAATCATTTTCTGAACATTTTGACTGGTCGATAATCAGTTTTAAATATTTATATTTAAAGTTATTAAAACTTTAAAATTTAGGACGGGAAGAAGTTGAGAATAATTTTTTGCGCGCATTTCTTAACCGTACTCCACCTCCCGTCCGAAATTTAAAAATTAAATAACTTCAAAGCTATTTATTCAAGACTGGTTATCGAGCAGTCCAATTTTTTCAGTAAATTATTCTTAATTTAAAAACATGTATATGTTACCATTAAAGATTAAAACGTTGATAAAGTTCTTGTAAATGATAAGAGAGATAAAAATTAGAATATTGTCTAATATTGTAGTATAGCATAAACAAAAATGTTTTCAAAAAGAAAAACTACACAGTATCAATTATTTTAATAGAAAACTGGCATAGGGCGTTAAAAGAATCATCAGGTATATTTTCACTTTTGTTTTAGACTAAGCTTTCAGTTGGATTTTGCAAAATTCACGTTCGTTATTTTAATGTGGATTATTTTTTTACGTTTAGTAAAAAATAATAACAGTAATTATTTTCATTACCTAGCAACTTTGTGTCTCATTTTGGGATAAGAGCTGATCATTTTGACGGCTTGGGTATAGAATTTAATTTTTTTTTTTTATTTAACAAATCAATGATTTCTCCACGGACTATCTCCATGGTCACAAGTAACATATATACATATATATATATATATATATATATTCCACCTGGTAATTCAGCCATATGACTCATGTGACCAACTTTCGTACGAACCTACACGCTGATTTATGGTCATAAAAATGATAAACTGGTTGTTCATTTTTCTCCAGTGTATCACTTAACGCGGTTCGTATAGGCGTTTTTTTTACAATGTTGTGGTGTTTTATTTTTTAACTCGCGAATACTTAAACCGGCGTACGTAATTTGCGCCACGTCCAAAACCTGTCTTGGAATAATCTGTCTCACCATCGTAATTGAGTGAAATTTAAACGAAACAATTAATTAATAGCTAACGTCTAATTTGACGAATAGTGTTGGCATTAAAGCATTAAAATAACTTTTTATTCATTACATATGTAACTTAATAAATCAAATAGATATAAATCAAATTAGCTTATTTATTTAGAAATTGTTTCTATTATTATTAATAGACACTAAAATGAATAATACATATAAAATAAAATATATTAAATATAATAAAATATGCATTGATAACAGTTAAACTTAATGATTAAATAGAACATAATTTTGTATTAATTGCTTGAACTAGATAAAAAATTATTTGAATAATTCTCAATCTGCTCAAGATGCATACATCATCTACCAGACACTGAAGTTTGGTTACCGATTTTAAAAATGTATGCGCACACACATAGTGTGGGTATGACCTAAGTATGCATTAGAGAATAGTTTGGAATTAGGGTGGACAATAAAAATTAGATATCATATATTATAATTTTTTCAAAATTTTACACAGATACAGACCTCAAAAGACAAAAATTTTGAAAATACTGATAGGGATAAATAATAGGGTTGTGTTATGTGTTAACAGTATTTGAATAATGATACTAACACAAAACCTATTTTAGACACACGAAGCTTTCATTAAACTAAAACGTTTACAATAGGTTTGTTATACAAGTTTCCATCAATATTTGAAAAATTGAAAGAATATATTTAAAAAGCATATGGACATCTTTTATGCGAACATTGAAAATATAAGTGTTTGTTCATTAATCGATTATTATTTTTATATTTTTAAGAGAAAATGATTTATTCTTTATAAAATTAGTAATTGTTTGAATCCTATATTTTATTTATTATTTTTTTTAGTTCAGTAAACTCACTTCAACTATTTATAAGTTTTTTGAAATAAAACCGTTGTTGTTTTGCATGTTTACATTTGATTGTCTTGGGAAATATTTTCTGACATCGCTTGTACGGTATGATGGCATAACGGCATAGCCAATATAAAATCAATTCGACAGATGAGCGTATCTCGTGACCTACGAAGAAGAATAGTGTTTAAGTAGCCGAATATTCTGCCGAGAGAAAGTGTATAATCGACACACCTCGTGACAGCTAATTGCGTTAAGTCAAACCGCATAATATAATATTATTGATCAACGGACAAAATGAAATATCCGAAGGTCGATGGCCCATCCGAATGATACATATTTTTTTTTTTTTGGTTAAACGGTTCTCTATGTGTACTTGGTATACACACAACCGCGCCGTAAACAATATTACGACGGTAATAAATTTGTGAAACGGGTGTGGGCGATTTCACTGTGTCGTACGTACCCTTAGGGATTTGCTTAATAAGGTGTGTGCTGAGGTGCAGAGCTTTGGGACGACACAGGAGTTATGATGGCGAGGAATGCGTTTGTCTTATTGCCCAAGGTAACGAAAGCCAAAACAAATGGAAATCGAGATAGCCTCGAGGTGACCGTTACTTACTCGGTGTTACTTCACCCGGCGAGGAGAAATTATTATTATCGATGCGGACGCCTCGGGCTCTTATTATTTTAAATAGTCTCGAGGGCCATACATAACTGCAAACAAAAGTGAAAACCCGCACAGGTCTTATCAACCCCTTTCTCCGGCAATCGCGTAGGTACAACGGTATTCTTTTTTTTTCATACCACCTGCTGCGGTCGTACTGCTGTCATAATGATACAAATAATAATAATATACAATAATATTATGCACAACGCGTTCGGCCGTCTTTAAGTTGTTGGTAATTTTTTCCCATAGCTGTATTCGATTTGTTATCGTTCGGAGTGCAAAGAAAATTTACAAACACAAACATTTCATGCACGTAGATTGATGTGAGGCAAGTGCAACTGGAAAATTTTTCAAAGAAATATGCCTCTATTTTGTTGTAGTTGAAATCGTTCGATTAAAATGACAGAATAGACAATTATTATTCGTTATTATCTATTATTTATTCGATTTGATTTATTTGAAGAATTTAATAATATTTTTGTGCACGGATATTAAATAAATATAAAAATAAGTTTGGTTAACGATTAATAATTTCAAATAAAAAAATGTTTTATTTTTTTAATATTATTTCAATCGCTTTTTGTTAAAAGGGCATATGTTACATTTTTCGTTAAATGTTTTTCAACTTTCAACTAGTTTAAACTTGAATTAAATATTTGTACAGTATCGAAATTTGGTATAAATGTCGAGTACCATGCACGTCATAATGCACATAAAAAAAATTATTTACAAAGTTACCACATTTTGAAAGTTATGCAGTTTTTTATCACTTCCCAAAAGTTCACCTATTGAAACATGTGCCCTTTTAACAAAAAGTGATTCAGTTATGTCTTTTGATAAATTTGAAACTATCAAATTCACACTTTAACTATAAATAATAATTATATTAATTTGAAGAGTTTTGGATAAGACTTTTGGTCGGAAATGATTTTCAAAAACATATTATACTGTAAGAAATAAATAATAAGAACATGAATTAATATTAGTCAATTAGGCTCTTTTGTTTTATCGGTTATCCATTACTTCCTACTATTCAAACAAATCGTGCACCTTTTTTGTCTACACAAACAATAGCATAATTAATAGTTTATTGTTTAAGCTAAATCATGAACTCTTCTAACGGATCATCGTGTTTTTCGTTATTAATTATTTTTTATATTATGTTATCAACTAGAGAGTATCAGACCGGCTTCACAATTGTGAAAGCCTCAAAGCTATAAAGTCATGATCTATTTAGTGTTAATAAAACAAGCATTTCGGTTTTGAAGTCCTTTCCGTAAACTACTTTTCCCTTAAAATCGTATTTTAGTTTTATTCGTTTAAACGGGTTTGTTTTATATTTCGATGCAATTCTCGTTGCAATTATTGCTAAACTGGATTTATAGTTCTATTAAAAAAAAAGCTTAACTACCCGCGTTTTGCAATTTTCGAATATTAAACTATATTAATTTGCATATTTCTTCGACTTTATCTAACATGAGAATATTTATCTATAATTAGTAAATAAACTATCTTTTATTAATTGATCTGTAAGATTTTATAAATAATAATAATAATAAATGAATAATATTATTCACGAATAAAAAATTGTCTATTATTCAACGAATTATGTATTGTTAACATGTTTCTCGATTCTGGTTACAAGACGTATTTACATGATATAACTTAGTGAAGTTTTTACGTTACATCTGTTTTGTTCGGTAAACATCTTGTCGCATAAAATAAACATAAAAATAGATGCTTAACGTCACAAACAAACACACTTCTTGTATAATCTGTTTTTGTGTGTGACGTTATTATTATTATTATGCGCAATACTTACATAATAATAGTTTATAAATAGTTTTAATAAAAAAAAAAAATTATTTTTAAAAAATACCAGCGTTTATGGAGGAATATTATAAACCCGTATAGGTGAATATATAACAATAATATATCTTGTTACAAAATTTGATACTACCCGTTTATTGTGTTGGAACCCTCATGTTGTTACATAACGTCTATGGAAATAAACTTTATTCCAAAATGATTACCTAATTCTTCGGCTGATTAAAATATAACTATGTCCCAACGAGCCACGAGGTGATCTCAAAATGAAATCAGGAATTTTTGGAAACCATAAATTAAAAGATAACATGCAGTTGAATTTTTTTAAATAAGGTAATATTTTCTTTAAATGTAATGTTTTCTTGTTTACACAAAGTATTTTTAAATAGTAAACAAAAACATGTTTATATTCAGAAACAAGTTTTTACTATTTTTTTGTTATATTTCACGGTCGGTTTTATTTAAATAGTTAATATACCAATCAAAATACACTTTTAGTTTTTATAGTACTGTTTACTTGGCCTATACACATAATATGCTAATTGTAAATATTATTAGATGTTAACAGTAATTTACCTACTTATAGTAAAAAGTATTTGGACACAATATCGAACCTCTCGTCGATCGAAACAACAGTAAGAAAATAAAAAGTACAGAAAACGGTCAATATACCGTTTGATTGGTAAAACATGTGTGCTTGTTTGTCTACTATGTATGTTTCATCCATATTTGGTCGCACTTACCGTGATGTTCTGTCTCATGGCTTTATTGATTTCTGTTTATGTGTCCTGTGGTTTGTTCTGAAATCAAAAAAAAAAAACAAAAGTTAAATATTGATTATATTAATTAATTAACGTCCTGTCAAAAAAAAAGTATTATTCCTTTATTAATAAAAATAAAAAAAAACCAACAACAATGCGTTTCTGCATCAGACATGTTGCACTTTCTCTTCGATTCTATATGAAGCCGATCATAAATACAGATGACACAGTATAAAAAAAAATCTTGTTGTAGGTAAACGACCGCACTCGAATCGATTAGCCTACATATTTTGTATAATATCTGCTGCGAAATGTTGTCAAAAGAGATAATACTAAAAAAAATATTGTTTAATAACAAGTTTAAACGATTGAAAGTGTTGTGAAACTTAATCAACGTATGTGTTATTATAATATATGATATGTTTTCTAAGATACAAAATATGTAGTCACAAAGTTAATGAAATTCCATTCAAACGAGTTGGATCATTACTTTTCACTAATTATATAAATATTTTAAATGAACAAAAATAAAAACCGATTATTCGATTATTTTACAGTTGGTTAAGAAAGTTAAAGGTTGCATAAGTTGACAAAAATTTAGAGGAGGGGAAGAGGTAATCATTTTAGTAGGTGTCCAGTTAGTATTTGACAGAACTTTTTGAAAAAGTTTCATAGCTGTTTTTGGAGTCCCGATTTTAGTTTACTAAAAAAAACTACCAATGATTAAAAGCCGAACCGAATAAGATGCATACTTCTGTAATGTTTGTTTTTTAAACCACTTAATTGTGGGTACTGTAAATGTGATTCCGATTTCCGACCTACTTAAAGTACTGTAAACTGTAAACTAGTAAAAAATGGTGAATTTTAGTTTCAAAATAAAATACTCTTTTAACGTGATCGAAGCCAAAAAATGAGAGAAAATAAAACATTTGTACATACTACACAATGTGTATTTCATATGGTTTATTGTAAAAATATAGGTACTATAAAAACAAAAAACCTATTGCTAATTATTAGAAATTATTATTTTCTCGCTTTTAAAACGCGAATTATAAACATTTAAAAAAAAAAATTCAGGATATTCTTTGTTAATTGATAATAATATTGTGCTCTTTGTTGTGCCATTGTTTCATCTCGGCAAACAATACACAACGTCTGTACATAATATTCACTTTCATTCATCTAATGAATTGGGCGGTTCCATGTTCATGTGTATAGAACAAATACATATTTTACAGTTTCATTCAAGTCCATACAGCAAAAAAACTATTAATGTTTCCAACAAGTTAGTTGACATTTTTTAATTAATTTTGGCAACGGATGTTTGAAAATTTGTATTTACAAATGTTTAAATTTTATGAAAATAGTTTGCTTATATTTTAATTACTACGATGGGTAAACATTAGTTTTTTTAGTACATTTTTTTTTACAGTTAATTCATTATGTTTCTAACGTTTTTGTTTCCACTCGTTATACTGTCTGTCACGTATGGACATCACGATTTTCTTTGATCGTTTATCGGTCGTGTTTCTCAATTACAATAATAATCGTTACCATCGAACAGACCGTCGTCTCAACCACAAAGCGATGCAGTAATACCTACTTATAATATTTCGATGTACACAAATGTGTGTTATGAAATATCAAATAGGTACCATGACGAAAAAAAAATTACCGTTTATTGTTTATAGTAACAACATATTTTTATTATTACGGCAACAGTGTTCGCATATTGGAATATAATTAGATAATCCCGTTGAATTTTTATTAGGTATGTACCTACTACCTTGTGTACACGGTTTAGATGTATGTTTTTTTGTTTTCTTATACTCGGGTACGCTTTCACTCGGTTTAGCATGCCGATTGAAAATTTAAGCATACTATATCTGCCTTTTTTAAATACCGTCGTCTCCTAAGACTTTTTATTTTCTTTTAGCGGTGAATTTTCTTTTGTTGAGCCCGGCCATGTTCATGACACATGCAGTTCCGTTCGGGCTGTTCCGGTTCGAAAATAGCCAACGGTTTCTATTTTGATTATTTTACATTTTTTTTTTCTTAGACCGTTTTGTTTGTTGATTTTTACCATACGAATTTCGTACGATTCTCACGATTTATGGATCGTTAATATTATTATTTTGCTGTTATTGTTATACAACTGTGAGCTGACCGTTGAAAAAAAAAAATTCAAAAAACAGTCGACAACAGTGTAAACGTTTTTTTTTTTGGTCGTTCACAAACCGATACGGATCGTCGAGCCCACCTTAGAGGAAGTTTTCCTATATCACTGCCGTCGACGGCAAAAATGTCGTGCAATGGTTTGATTAACAAGGCCAACGGTTCGGAGCAGAAAAAACCATCCGGACCAAAACAATTCTTAAAAAACAAACTCAACCGAGTTTCTAAAATTTTAATTTTTTACCTTCTAGAGCGTTCTAAACTGTAAAAAAATTGGAAAAATAACTTATGTTGGGTGCACAAAAAAAACCATAGTAGAGATACCTAAAAAAAAAACTACCTCCAATTAAAATAAAACCAAAATGCAACTACAATACAATTTCATCATCGTCTTACTACATGGGGTCGGCCCATGTATTAAAATTAAATTACTTCTTGATTCGGTCGAGCGTTCAAGTCCCTCCAAAGTGTTTACTGCACTAACGCTGATGAAGCTATAAATTATTTAGAATGATAAGTTGATTTAGTTAGGCGAGCAAATAGGTCGTTTCTGAAGGTTAAGTACTTTTAGGATAGCTTCGTAGTAGGCTGTAAACGGTTTTGTTTTCCGACCATTTTAACAGCTTTCCATTCATTAACGAGATATGATAGCATAACATTATTATTAGGCGTTGTTAACGCCATTTTTTCAGATTCTGTAAAGTATAAGATATAGAGTATATTATAGGCAGTCTATAGATTTAATCGAGCCCAATAATTAGTAAACCGCAAAAATCCACCAAGCCGATTGAATACGACGCAGTTATTAGGAAAAAAAAAAATTATATAATACTACACAAGTATCACCTGCTAGAAATATACCGCGCCCGAGGTTTGCGTTATTATTGCTAATTAACCGTTCATTATTGAGTTGAAAAGCGACAGTATTTCTAGTTTGACGGGGACACCTAGTCAACAATTTTTTATTCTATTTTTTTATTATTCGTCCTCGTTCGCGCCATAATAATGTATACAACAAGATCATTGAATACGACTCGTTTGCGACGCATTCATGAAAAAATAGGCACTTACAAATCTAGAACGAATGTCGAACAGCAAAAAAAATATATACATTTATCAAGAGGTATGATAGAGGTAAATAAAATGTGTAAGACGTAAAATACAATGTTATGCGACCGGCGAGTTAAATTCACCGCGATGCGAACAAGAATAATATAGTATAAAAAAAATTATACACAAAATAAAATATATTATATATATGGCGTATCGTTAACGTCCGTCCTTGGAAAGGTCACGATTTGACGGAGAAATCCATTTATACATATTATATTCAAACCACACAATAATACAATCGGATATGTTTGGCGGATATATAAAAAAACCACGCTGAAATTGCAGGTGGTAGATTCAACACAGAATATTTTGATTTAATGTTAAGTATTAAAGAGGGTTCAACTGAGGCAGAGAGCTTGTAGAAAGCTACAGACTAAAACAAATCGAGTAATATTAATTATATTAATATCATTGTCATATAATTTTTCGGATAAACTTGATTTTCGTGCCAATTTATAGGGGGTCGTGGTTATGTCGGTAATTTAAAAATATTATAAACGATATTTTAGGTTTTCTACTTAACGCAAAGGGTCAAAAGGGAATGCCGTTTGTGTTGTGTTGAAAACAAGCCGAGCGTCCCTCATTGTTCTATCCGTTCAAGACGGCCAGCTCAACAACGGCGTTAATTTCGCAATTCGTCCGAAACAATAACCCGTATAATGTGTATATATATACACACAATATAAGCACCCAACTATATAATTATTTCAATACACTGAAACCCGGCCGACCTATTGTTTTCCTGGACCACGACAGTATCGTGTGCCACGATCGGCGGCCGGCAACGTTGAGAAACTTTTAATTGTTTCTGTAACGACGACGTTGACGAGTCCTGTGTTTTGAAAAAAATATAGTACAGGTACACTGTACCTGTGTCCAAGAATATGACAGTTAGAGCAGGACTCGAGGTCGAAAACGATTATTCGTTAAAATGTTATAGTAAAAACCGCTATTTTTTTTGCTGTACATTTTCAACAAACTACAAACATAAATGTATTATTTAAATCGGTTGAATTTTGTTTTATATTTTTATTAAATTTAATCGAAGAGCTTTGATACAGCTAGTACAGTGTTACTAGTTTTTTAATTAGACGTGTTTTGCAAGACCGAAGACGATTCGTTTCAATGCATAGCTGATAATATAAGATATGATATTGGATAGGATGGAATTTTCTATGATCGCTTAGTCGGTGTTTCGCAACAACACTTCGCGACTGGTTCTTTACAAAAAAAAAAAGACATTAATCAAATCAGTTACCGAGCAAAGTCCTTGGTACGTCATAACATGATAAAAAAAAACAATTAAACTAGATGCCGTATGTAACCTATTTGCGGAACGACGACAGTTGGAACACGACCGACTAATGTTACCAAGTTCCATTGTATCCTCTGTGTTTTTTTATTTTTCTACTAATTCGTGTAATACTATGTACTATAGTCCTTAGAATACCTGGTAAAAAAATCCTCCTAGAAAAAAACACCCAGGAGTATTTTCAAGAATTGTCTCATAGGTTTTTGGTTCATATTAATTACACTGAACAATACAATTTCAAAGGTTTTGTTTTTGCGCCAACGGGAGTTGTTTAATTAAATACCGAGTTTTGTTATAGTTACACAAGAGGCGTTTGTCATCAATTCTTATCACTAGTTAGCAATCTAGTTTTCTACATTATATATTTGTGTCCCCGGTGTTAATTTTTATCAGTGTCCGGTGCCTGGATATTGTATTATCGCATAGTACTGCAACGCAC